GGGGGGGGGGGGGGGGGGGGGGGAGAAAAAAAGCAAGTCATTTCCATAGGCAATCTCTCCTTTGCCTGACCCTTTCCCGCTGCCAGCATGATCGCATTGCTCTCCTCTCCACCTCTCAGAGTGATTGAAGAGAAAGCGATTTCAAGAGAGTAAGCATGGTGACTGAGGAACACTACAAAGGTCATAAATGGTCGTAAATGGGCCTTAAAGTTATTTTTTCAGTACCATACTAACTTTGAATGGTTGCTGAACGAATGGTTGGTAAACAAGGACTACCTGTAGTAATGTGTCTAACGCCCTAGGAATGGAGATCAGGTAGAAACTTGCCTTATGAGAAAATTCAGTTTTCTACTACTACTGAAATTTGAAATCTTAGATCAGGGTAGGCACGCCACAGACTCTTAGCTACATGCAGTCTCAGCTCTATTTTTGTCACTTCCAAACCCCATCAAGTTTTTTGGGTGATTCATGGCATGAGAATAGCTTAATGGGTATGTTAAGCCTTTGACAACTTTGCCAAAGTTGAGTTGATTAAATCATATCCAGGAGTGGAACAACTAGAATTTGGAGTTACCTTCTTAAATAATTAGGGTTTACTACAATTGCATATCAAAATTAGTAGAGAGCTGTATTAGAACAAAAAGTTAAGGTAAATAAAGAACACACGTGCTACTAGATAAATATACCTAGTTAACTATATAAGAATTACATCTAGTTAACATAACAAGTTGATGCATACGTTTGCATGTATGTTTGTCCTGGGTGGGCTACAAGTAAAAAGAATATTATTTTTGTGCACTGCCAAAATCACTGCCTTGTGATTGTTGTGGGATAAAAATTTGATTGATAAATGATCAACAAATAAATAACAAAGCACATCCAGCATCCATTAAGAAAGTTACTTAATTAAAAAAAGGAGACCATGTTGCTTTCACAAGACAAATCCAATTTGTTCTTGACAAATCCATGTTGACTTCTCGCAAACATGGTGTTGTTTTCAAGACTGATCATTTGATTATCTGCCCTAGAGTCTTTCCAGGTACTGATCTTTGAATACAGATCAGAACTTCTAGTCTGTAGTTTCCTGGATCCTTCACTTTTTGAAGATAATGATATTATTTGTCCTTATCCAATCATCTGGCACTTCATCAATTCTCCAGGATTCTCAGGGTTCAGTATCCTAACATGTAGTTCATCTGGCCTTGAAAATTAAAATTCATTCAAAGTAAACAGTATTCTCAGATTATATTTGTATGAACCTCAAACTTGACTCCTCCACATTTATACTGTTCTTCACAATTGCCTGGTGGAACTCCTATTCTCAGAGAATACTAAGCAGTGATAGGAATAGACT